TTTATATATTTTTAGCTCTTTATATATGTGTGTATTATACACATAAGCGTATTATTGTATGCACATATGTTTGTGCGCGCAGAGAAAATTGAGCTCCTTCCTTTCTGTCGTCGTCTTTCATGCGTAGCTGACAATTTTGTTGAATTTTATTGTGGCCACGTCACCTTTTCCTGAAGTCACACAACAATCTGAAGGATAATTCTGCTCGCCTCTAATTGTTTCTCAGATACATTTAAGGACAGTGCTTTGACTTGAGTGACGTTTCAAATGACAATCATGAAATTATACAAATAAATTTGAACATTTTTAACGGTAAAAGGAAAATTTTAATCGAAAGTGGCTGCTAAAATAATTGTATGCACGAATGGCTAGCAGTGCTTAGTCTCATTCGTAGGATTTAGGTTCAAATCTAATTGCGGTCGCCCTTGAAGATGTTTCTGATATGATACAGAGTTTTCCGAAGAATCATAGCATTTTTTGAGAACATTGATATGATGTTTATTTCAATCTAAGAAGGAGGACATTAGGATATTAATAGTGGAAAAAATATCTTCTAAAAGGCCGCCCGGCTACGCCAACACCAAATTGCTTTATGCTCCAATAGCTTCACAAAATCCATCTTAGAAATCCTGAATCGACCTTAGCCTGTTGGCGTAGACCTTATCTTTTACGTGGCCCCAAAGGTAGCAGTTGCAAGGTGTTAAATCACAAGATCTTGGTGGCCGATTGCGATCACCGCTTTGAGAGATAAGGCATCTAGTGCCGTCTTGTTGAATGTAGACATTGTCCAGATCAATACCATCCAACCAATCAGCATAGCCACGACATTTTCTATGAGCGGCCGGATTGAGTTCTTCTGTTAACTGAGTTTTATAAGCCTTAATACCCAAGTCTTTATGCAAAATATACGGTGTAATGGAGTTTCAAAGAACAACAAGTTTCTTTTTTCTTCAACACTTGCAGTTGTTCTTGAGCGAGGTTCACAAAAATATTGGAAAAGTCCCATGAAAAAAGAAAACATCACCCGATAGTACGATAAGGAGCTGCCGCTATGTCGGAACTTGGTATCCCCAAAGAACTTATATGGCTGTAACTGACGTTAAGCAATACCTGAAGCTCGTTAGAATCGAGAAGGCCTCCTCCGGTCTATCCAATTCCAGACGAGGTCTCACGCAAGCTGATTCGGTTAGAGCGTCTCTGTAACCTATTACTGAAGAAGGTACAATCTTCTATAGGAGAGTACAGCTGATGGTGTATGCCGAAGATATTGGCATTATTGGCCTCAACAGCTGCGCCGTTAGTTCTGCTTCTTCCTGACTCGATAAAGAAGCGAAGGGTATGGGTCTGGTAGTGAGCGAGGACAAGACGAAATATCTCCTGTAATCAAACAAACAGTCATCGCATGCATCTCTCTATTGACAGTCATTATAGCGAAGCCGCAGATAGCTTCGCCTATCTAGGAACCAGCATCAACCCTAAACTCCAACGCAGAATAATTCCTGCCGGCACATATCTACTTTGAACTGAGTGTGCAATTGAAACACGAACTAAGACCAAAGACCTCAAGTCGGTCATCATTGCCGTGCGTCCTGCTGTATGATGCGGAAGCATGGACTATGATAACATCTGATGAGTCGACGTTGGGTTTCTAAAAGAAAGGAAAATTTGTGATAAATTTATGGGATAGCGATATTTGGGCTAGCTATTTAATCATGAAACCTGGTTCGATCTTTCAAAAACATCAAATATCAAGAGATCTCACTGAGCTATAATTTCGATAATTTTTTTGCTATATTTTTCTATTTGACAATGTTTTAAATATTTTGTTATAAATAACCGCTGTACATTTTTAATAATATTTTTAATAAAGTTTGTACAAAAAAATTCAAATTAAATTGGGATATTCTTCCTTTTCTCAAGAAACCAGCTTGCAGTTTTTCGCTATCTGGAGGGGTTGTTATCTAATGGCTGCTCGCTGAGTATGTATGTATAGTGTATGTTTGTATTAGTCGCTTGTCGTACAGTCGCGGTAAAAGTGTTTACTACATAATTCTGTCGTGCTCTATAGAACCGGATGGGAGATCAAAAATTCACAGAGTGTGCATAGAGTTTAGAACTCACTACTCTACTCAACATGGTACGCACGAAATGGTGAATATCTCTGCTAATTTGGTGTGAACCTTAACTAAATCGAATGAATTCTAATGCATAAATCTCCTAGTTTCCTAAGCTAAAAGTCGTTTAGAAATTACTTTAGAGCTTTCTATTTGAGCTTTTGTATATTCTAAAATATTTATTTATTCTTGACTGTTTGCCCATCCAGACATTTTATTTGAATTTCAATAGTATTTTTTTTTACAAACTTTTTAATCATTACAAATGCAAACAATTTTTAGTTTACTCCCAAAATTGTTGTGTAACCGAGAAAAGTTATTTAAAAACCACAAACACCTGTCTGTCTGTGGCATTTTTTGGACAACTTGCCAAATGGCAACTTTTGCAAAGATGATGATGAAGATGATAGTGAGAGAAAATTGCAAACAAACAAGTTTGAAGTGTGTAATGAGCATATTGCACATATTCATACAAGCGGAGGGATTCAGAAAATATACTCATAGCAGCATAAAAAGTTTTTGGGTTAAGTACAAGTATTACAAAAAAATAGGAAATAATATTTAAGTAAATAAAAATATTTAAAAAAATGTAGGAATATAATTTTTTCTGTGGAAATGAACTGGGAACATGATTATCTTTGAAATTTTGAACTAAAGAAGGTAAGTGTTAAGGAGTAAGGCCACTCCAGGATTTTGTAAATGAAACTTTTTTTGCTCACAGTGTAAATTTAGGTCCTTGGAATGATATGCAATTGGTTTTAAGTGGAAAAACTTATTTCCAATAGGTAATCAGCGTGCGCTGAGTACAATGAAAATTTTAAACGCGTTTTTCTCAAAATCCCATTTTTCAAATTAGGTGGACGGATTATTCGGACCTTAGAGTTTGTAGACCATAAAACTTTTTGCTTTTCTGTTCTAGGTCTCATCTCTTAGAATAAATCGGTCCTTCAGTCAGACGCCTTTCAAAAAACAGGAATTAATTAATGGACTTTATCACCGCCATTTTGTAACGATTAATAATTAAAGAATATTTTTTTACACTTTGTTTTGTGTCGGGGTGAATAAGGGGCCGGAATTCAAGAGGAATCGGGAACTGGGATCGGGGGAGGTGTCGGTCCTTCAGTTAGCTTTAAACCTATCTAATTGCCTGTCGCCAAGCTCTCAATAAAACAGTTGTAGAATTATTGTAATAAAACAGTACCGTTTATTAAATGTAACTTATGTGAAAAAAAACCCTGAAAAAACGACTAAAATATCAACTCACCTGAGATGTTGCTGCTGTGGCTGCGGGACCAAAAGAAGGGTATTCAGGCCGGCAACATTGGCCATTTAACGGGACTAATTGGGCTAACTGGAGTTTTCCCATACATTTGAAGAGCCACTTAGGTGAGAATTGAAGACAACAGCGACATCTATCTGTAGGTAGAAGTTATGGCTGCTGCTCAGGGTTGCACGCGTAAACACACTTCAATATACATATGTTCAAAGAAATGGTTAAAAAGATGTTCTATTAATTTTTCCATATTTCTACAATACATTTTTAAAAATGAGTCTATTTTTCAACCTCTAGAGTGGCTTTGAACCTAAATCACTTCACTCAGTAGTGTTGGAGCGCAGCAGAGATATATTTATATACAACTTTCCTACATTTTTTCTCAAAATATGAATTTTTTGTGAGTTTATGGTATGGATACGGTCAATCGTGCGGTATTTTGGATTCTTTGATTTCGTTCCGGTAATTTTGATCTACGGCGCGGAAAGTTGGTTGCTAAAAATGGCTTACCCAGGAGCCAAACACTGCTGGGTACATAAATAAGCTCTATTTGTTGGCGCCACTTGAGTTGACGAGAAAATGCCTCATGGAGGAAATTTCTATTTGCGAATCACTGCTGAATTGCAACGAAATCTACTTATTTCTGCCTCGGATGATGACTAGTGTCGAAAAGTGGATCGCTCGCAATAATCTAAAACGAGTGCAATGCTGGCCAAACGGCAGTGAGTCAGCGCAAACAGACTCCAAATCAGGATTATTTTAGGTTAGGTTAGGTTTATTTTTGTTGGGATTGTCAAAGGAATCATTCACAAAGAGCTATTACTTTATGGCCCAACTCTTACTTCATACCTGTACTGCCAGCATTTGGATTGCCTGAATGAAAAAATTGTTCAGAAATGCCCAACTTTGGTCATCAGCAGTGGATATCACGTCACGACATCACAGGACCACCACACACATTGGTAGTGACTCGCCAGATGCTCCGAGAACTTGGTTGGGAGGTGCTTATGCATCATCCTTATAGTCTAGACCACAAGCGCGAATGATATGTCTGGAGAAAATTTGGTCTCTGGAGAAGCCACTGAAAATCGATTGTCCCATATTTTTTTTCTTTTTAACCAATAAGGAAAAGGTTTCTGTGATAGAAGCCTGATGACATTATCTTCAAAAAGGCAAAAAGTTATCGAGCAAAGCGCTGCACATTAGCCAGAAATCGAAAAAACTCTAACTATGGTAAATAAGGTCTTCAATTTAACGCAAAAATAACGGTTTGCTTTTTACTAGATTTACATTTTATATTATTTTATAATTATTTATTTTTTATTTTCAATATAAAACTAAATCTCAAAAGTTTTTAGTAAGAGTCGCAAGTCTGCAACAGAGTTTTTCCAAACTCGTCTATATTTTAGTTGATTAAAGATAAATAAACACCGTTACCACCGGTTTGTGGCATCATCAGCATCATGTTGGTTGTTTATTGCAGAAGTCAAAGTGGTGGAAATGAAGATTTCCTACTTGAAATTTACCACATGGCTTCCACATATTTTAGCCCTCTCAACTGAACTCATCCGCACTGAAAGGTGTTGAGCAAATCTGCTGCTGGAATTGCTGTAATGCAGCTAACGCAAAATTATATCATTGTTAATTTACTACTCTACGAGGAAGTGCAAATGCGTAAGTCTGCTTGGCGTTTGCTAAATTTATAAACATTTTAAGGTAAATATTTCGCATAATTTTGAGCGAAAAATATTCAAAGATATGATCGCGCCCTTTATGTTTGTATGTCATATATTTGAACGATTTGTTTCATTGGTTTTAATTGGTTCTATAGTGGAAAATATTTTCTCTGCTCTCTGCTGGTAATGGATAAGCAGAGGCAACGTTGTCTGCTAACAGAGTAGCGAGGAAAATTTTGAGAAACGAAATAAAAATAATTTTATGAAATTTGTCAACCAAAAACAGCAACCTGTTACAGGATAAATTCAATACAAATTGATGCATTCTTATATTCTCACAACGGGGATATACAAAACAAAATAATTGTTTTTCTTTTTTTCATTTCATTGCAGTTGTCAAACTGGAGAAGTTAATAGCACGTCCAGAACCAACGCCAGGAGTTTCAGAAGGTGAGAATTTACTGAGCGCATGTATATACTTAAATTATTTATGTGGTGCATTTAAAAAAGAAATATTTATTTACAAGCAATTAATATCAGTAGTGGCTTGAGTCGATAATTATTCAAGCTGAAGTACTCCTGCAAGTCATCTGGCTCGACAACATGAATCGATACGATCTGCATCATTAGAATCGGTAAATCTCTCCAACTTCTAGCAGTCAAAAGTGAACTGTGTGACGCCCATCTCTTAGCCCAACTCTTCGCAGTTGTCCAATCTCAAATAAATCTTTCTAAGCTGTCTTCTTCTTCCTCTTCTTCTTTTTTGGTGTTGGCGTTGCTTACGCGATTATAGCCGAATCAATATTAGCGCACCATTCTTCTCTTCTTTTCGCTATCTGGCTCCAGTTGGGAATATCAAGTGAAGCCAAGTTACACTCTATTTGATCCTCTTCCTCTGTTTCCACCCGCGAGTACTGCATCGAAAACTTTCAAAGCTGGAGTGGTTTCATCCACTCCGACGACATGACCTAGCCAGCGTATCCGCTGTATTTTCATTCGCTGAACAATGTCAATATCATCATAAAGCTTGTACAGCTCATGGGTTGATTGTCTGTGATATATTTGCCGTTGCCAATACGCAAAGGACCATGAATCGTTCATAAAACTTTTCTCTCGAGGATTCCTAGGGCCGACTCATCAGCTGTTGACATCGTCCACGCCTCAAGGCCATAAAGTAGGACGGATAGGATGAGCGACTTGTAGAGTTCAATTTTTAATTGCCTACTTAATCCAAAGTGGCACCTGTTGGCAAGAGTGATCCTGCGTTGGATCCAATGCTGACGTTATTATTTGTGTTAATGCTGGCGCCCAGATAGACGAAATTATTAACGACATCGAAGTTATGACTCTCAACAGTGACATGGTAGCCAAGTCGCGAATGCGATGACTGTTTGTTTGATGACAGGAGATATTTGTCCTCGTTCACTACCAGAGCCATTCGCTTCGTTTCTTTATCAAGCCTGGAGAAAGCAGTGCTGAAGTCGCGGTTGTTGAGACCGCCAGTAGTTGCACACTCTTATAGAAGAATATCCTCCTCTATTCAGCTCTCCATCATCAAATTGAAGAAATCACACGATATAGAGTCACCCTGTCTGAAACCTCATTTAGAACCGAACGGCCCCGAGAGGTCATTCCAAATTCTGATTGCGCTTTGGTGATGTCTAGCGTCAGTTTACGTAAGCCGTCTAAGTTTTGCGGGGATACAAATTTCGATATGGCGGTGTAAAGGCAGCTCCTTTTTGTGTTGTCGACGAAGAGGTGGTGGGTGTCGTTCGCCTCTTGACGGCACTTTTCCAATATTTGACGCATGGTGAATATCTGAACAATGGTTGATTTGCCACGTTTAAAGCCACTCTGATAAGGTCCAATCAATTAGTTGACGGTGGACTTTAATCTTTCGCACAAAATGATCGATAGGAGCTAATATACGGTATTAGCCTTACTTTACCTTAGCTTTTCATCGCCAGGTTTGAATAGCTCTGTCGGTAGTTTATCAAACTCTTCATACTTACGCATTTCGGCCACTTTTTATTATTTGTCTGCAAATGGGTCTTGCTTCCTTCTTCAGCTCGCGATATCTACTCCACCCCACACGTGGCGAAGGAGAAAGTCTTTTTTTTCTACTGTAGTTCGACATTCCTTATCGCACCAGCTATTGAGAGATAGTTTTAGATTTGCTAAAAAAAGACTCTACACATGTGGAAGACCTTTGTTCCAATTGGATATTTATCACAAGATCTTTCGAAAGTAGCGAAAGCTGTAATAGATTTGGGCTACACTTGAGCTTTTTTTTGGTTAGTGTTAATCTTTCACTAAAAGGAATTCAGATGTGTCTAAATAAATACTACAATAGACAAAAAAAAAACTCGAAGCAAAAAGTCTATTTTTTCCAATATTTCAAATCTTTTCCTTGTAGACAGTAGGAAGACTGCATTTTTGCAATTTTTATGTTCTATGTAAATATATTTTTTAAATAAAATTAAGCTATAAATACCTGAATTCTATTGTTCAAAATGATCATTTGAATAGCGCGAATATGAAAAATTTATATACTTATAACTTTCTTACTCCTAATTTCAGAATGGGGCTCTGGCTGGACTGGACCAAACTTTATTGTGGAAATCGAAGAGACTGGATCTGCCTCAGCAACGAACTCAGATTATCTCAACAGCAACGAAGATGTGACCAGCTTAACAACATTAAACTCCACAGCGGCGGGGAGTGGTAAGTACGAAAAATCTTTAATAGGTCATATGGAGCCAAGTAGTTAACCACAACATTTTAAAACAAATTTAAATTAATTTTACTTCATTTCCTTGCATTTTTTCTCAATTCATTCTAAAAAATATTACTTTTTATTAATTTTATTCCTTGCATTTTTTCTCAATTCATTCTAAAAAATATTACTTTTTATTAATTTTATTTTTAAATTGGTTTTATTTTGGTTAATTTGTATGTTTAAATTCAATTATTTTACAAAAAAAAAAAATGTTTTAAATTATATAACTATAATTTATTTTGCAACTTATTACATATATATATAATTGACGCTTTGTAACCGCAGAAGCGAGTTTTCGGCCGAGCTCCTCCTCTATTTCGCGGTTTGGCGTCTTGATGTTTTTCGAACAAATGGAGTGACCTACAGGTTATACTACATATTATATAAATAATTTTTTTATAACTTTTGGATGTTGGTTGCACCGGGATATAAGTCCGAGCCTTCCGAATGTCAGTAAGCAATGCTAACCACTCGGCTACCACGTCCGCATCATTTTAATTTAACTTATTTCATATTAACCCATTTGAATTTATTTTTTTTTGTCTCATTTAATATTATCTTATATTGTTTATATCCTTTAATTTAAATTGACTTTGTTATAGGTTATAGTATTTTATTTATATAATATTTTCTTTTATTATTTTAAACGTAATATTTCAATTTACTTTATTTTGTTTATATTACTTTGTTTCGTTGGATATTACTAATATTTATTTTGTGTTAATTTTCATCCTTTCATTTTATTTCATTTCATTTTGTATACTATAATGTTTTTTAACTTTATTTTATTTTAATAAATATTATAACATTCCTTACTGTTTTTCCGATTTACAAATTTAATTTTTTTATTTAACATAAATAATATCCTTTTGTTATTGTATTTTACAATTTTTTATTGGAACCTTTTTTCATTTTATTTTATTTCAATTCATTTTATATTATTTTTTGATACCTTATTTTATTATACTTTATATTAGTTTATTTTAGTAATTTTTCTTTTATTTTATTTTTATTTTATTTTATTTTATTTAATTTTGCTTGACTTTATTTTATTTTTTTTTCTTATTTGACATTATTAGGTCACCTAGAAAGTTCGTTCGGTTTTTATCTAAGAGATGGCGCTGAAAGTTTGTCTTTGACGGTTTTCCGATTGATTGACTCAGTATGTTGTGAACGCTCGTCAAAAATGGACACCAGCACAGAGAAAATTCGTAGCATTTTACAATTTTTCTTCGATCAAGACGAAAAAGCAGACAAAGCGGCTGAAAAAATGACTTAATGGGCCCGACACTGTAAACGAACGTGTAGCTGGGTTCCGTTCCGGTAATTTCGATTTCAAGAATGCATAACGCGTCGGGAGGCCTGTCGTCGAAAATTGCGATAAAATCATGGGAATGGTGAAAACAGGCCGTCCCGTGAGCACTTATTTTATTGCTGAGGAACTAAAGATAAGCCAGAAAACTGTTTGGAACCATCTGCGTAACCTTGGATTCAAAACGAAGCTTGATGTTTGGGTGCCACACGAACTAACGCATAAAACCATGATGTACCGAACTTCTATCTGTGAATCGCAACAAAATCGACCCGTTTCTGAAGCGGATTGTGACTGGTGATGAAAAATGGGTCACTTACAACAACATCGAGCAAACGGTCGTGGTCAAAGCTCGGGAAAGCGGCCCACATAGTGGCCAAGACCGGATTAATGGCCAGGAAGGTTTTGGTGTGTGTGTGGTGGGATTGGCAAGGAATCATCTACTATGAGCAGCTCCCCTACGGCCAAACGCTCACTTCTACCCTCTACTTATCTAGAAGAGATCATCTTTGATCAGCAGAGGCCGTAATGTGTTCCGTCAGGACAACGCCAGGCCACACATGTCTCTAGTGATGCGCCAGAAGCTCCAGGAGCTCAGATAGGAGGTTCTAATACACCCGCCTTATAGCCCGGACCTGGCACCAAGTGATTACCACCTTTTCCTGTCCACGGCGAACGCGTTTAATGGCGTGGAACGCAGCCTTATTTGAGAGGGGTATAATAAAATTGGCATCTCGTGGGCAACAAGTTTACGAACAAAACGGCGCATGTTTGACTCGAAGCGGACATTTTAAAACATCAATAAAAAACCGAGCGAACTTTTTACTGTTAATATTTTATTTTATTATGTTTTTTTATTTTATTTAATTTTTTAATTTTTTTTTCAACTTAATTGATCTGAATTTATTTAAATATAAATATTTTACCTTCATTCTTTTTCATTTTGTTTAATTTAATATAATTTAATTTTTTTTATTAATTTTATTTTATTATTTTGTTTTATTTTATTTCATTTCGTTTCATTTTGTTTTGTTTCATTTTTTATATTTTATTTTATTTTATGTCATTTCGTTATATTTTATTTTTATTTATTTTACTTTAGTTATTTTATTTTACTTAAATTTGTTTTACTTTATTTATTTTTACTCTCTTTTTATTTGAATTTAATTTTTTTGTTTTATTTTGCTTGGTTCTATTTTATTTTATGTGTTTTATTTAATTTAATTTTTATTTTTTTTTTAATTTCATTTGTTTTGAAGTTATTTTACATTTATATTTTATTTTTATTTATTTTAAATTAATTTAATTTAATTTCTTTTGGTTTCTTTAATTAAACAATTTTTTTAATTAATTTTATTTTAGTTTACTTGCGTTATTTCATTTCATTCATGTCATTTTATTTAATTTTATTTTTTTTTAATTTTATGTCATTTCGTTATATTTAATTTTATTTATTTTACTTTATTTATTTAAATATATATTATTCTATTTATTTTTTTTTATTCTTATTTTAGTTTAGTTCTTTTTCTTTGTTTCATTTTCTTTTAAGTTGATTATTTTTTTTTACTTTACTTATGTTATGTTATTAATATTATCATTAATTTTATTTTCATTTCATTTCGTTTTAGTTTCTATTTTTTCATTTTATTTTTATTTAGTTTAGCTCTGTTTCTTGCCACAAAATACGTTAAAAGAGTTTAGGCCGTTTGCTCAGTTTAGGTCACGTTTTGTAATTTCTATTCGTGCAAATTTGTAATTGTCTGTAACTCAGACTATGTAAAAGAAAAATTGAAACACAAAGAAAACATTCATACATTTGTCTCTCGTTAACACCATGAGGACCATATACAGATTTCGCAAGTATTTTAATAATTTTGCGGTATTTGCGCGGAACAAAAAAAAAAAGAAAATCGAATGGCGGGACGTCTAGCCGCCTGAGTTCAATGTAAGTACACAATTATGCACATCTGGCCTGACCGCCGCTACCTTAATTTGCATAAACTTCCAAGAAACCGAGCTGGAAGCAGCTAAAACTATTAACAAACGAGAGACTATAGTTTACTACTATAAAAGGATACACTTCCAAAAATATTCGCACAGTCAGTATAGACGATTTGCAAGCGCGACATCATTTCGAACTCGAACACAAGTATTAAAATTTTGTATTGAAACGCAGCTATTTCCATAGTATGGGCTGTATAGTATCCAGCACACAAACGCCTGTTAACAATTCTACTAAGGTAGATTTCAAATCAACTTATGGCTATAGTGAAACATTTCTAAATCATCCAATTTTCCAAAATTCGGATCTCGGTATACCTGTTGAAAAATGCGAATTCGTGTGTCCACCCTTCAGCAAGCGGGTCAAATATGATCCGGACTGTACGGTGTTCGGTTGGCTGCACAAATCTGATATACCCAAAAAATCTAGTTCAAAAAAGCTGCGTAAAAACAAAGAGGACTCGGAATCTGAAGCAAAAAAGATGTTAAAGATTAAAAGTAAACACAAATCAAAGAGTGAAGATGAGACCAATAAGCAAAAGAAGCGATCATCAAAGTCTACGGTACAACAAAGTTCAAACCAAAACACCGAAGAAACGAATAAATTGAAAACTGTTGTTGAAGAAAATTTCAAGATGGAGGATCACTTGCGAGAGATCCCAAATATTGAGATTAAACAAAGTAGCGAGAACGTGAAAGAAAATAATTTCATAGCCACAGTGCCACCAATTCAAATAAAAACTGTGACAACAGAGCTAAACAACCGATTGAACAATGAAACCAAAGAATATCTCGAAATTGCTAAAGAAAGTCACACTGGAAGCATAAATCCATCGTTTCATTTACACATCGAAAAAATCAGCCCGGCAGCCAATCGTTTAAACACCGAATCAAAACAAACGCCAAAAACTGAGAAGGAGATTAGTGCGGGTAAAATTAAAAAGAAATCATTACTACTGAATTTACGACGTCGTAGCTCACTGTGTTCGACTCCGTTCAATAAAACCTTATCAACTATAGAGGAGGAGGAAAATGTCGTAAAACCAACTGCAACACAATTGAAAGCGCTCGCCTCGACTCAGCAAAATGTGAACATTTTACAAGGTGGCCAGGAAATTATTGTTAAAAAGGTTGTTTTTGATATAAAGTATCGCAAATCGAACACGTCTACTGTGGGAAATCCCAGGGAAAAGGATAATACAGCAAATAATCCTACCCAGCCGACGCACATCAACGCAACCAGACAACCGACAGACTTCGGCGACAACACAGAAGTTCCAACAAAAGCTTCCAATAAAGCCACTTCTGCGAAATCTCGCTTCTTTCTTAAAATGTCTTTGGAAAAGGCGATTCTCATTGAAAATATCTTTAGGGAAATCCACAAGAGCAACATTCAACTGAACCGAAAAATCAGCGAAACAACACTCGATCTGGCAAAGCAGAGAACCTTCAGTACACAAAAACCAATGTCTAGTTCAGCATTATTGAAACATTACTCTCCCGCGCTCTTGGCGAAGCTACCGCAACGAGAGACTGAAATTATGAAGATAATGACTGAACCACGAAAAGATTATTATTATTTGTAAAACTTTTAAAGTATATATGATTTTGAGTTAGAAAAAATTATTTAAT